CTGCTAATATACAATTGAGTTATATTCTTAATGAACAATAATAGCGGCTTCGGTGTCTATTAGGCCGTGGGCCTGTCGCCGATTCCTAGCATCGTAGAATTGGTCTTAACATCGCACATGATGGTACCTTCATCATCATTGACAAAATAATCTGTAATACTATTAATCAAACATCTTGTAATACTAATAATCAAGCATCTTTTCCTATCAAAATAAATTCCTGAATTTCATTTATTCTGTATTAACGCCGAATCTCTAACTTCTTGAATTTCTGAGTTGGTCTATAGCTTTACGCAAGCAGAAACTCTATGTTTCTAATAAACAAGGTATAAATTTATTTACGCAGGTATAAATTCTTCTGTTTCCATTTAGTGTAATAATTTGGCTTGTCCAATCCTTGGCTCAGTGTGAAGGAGCTCGCTGTCGACGGCCGCAATGACACCAAGTATCACTCGGACGCGACAGGAGCGTATAAGACCCCGTGGCTCCTCGTCAACTTGCAGGGAGCCATGTTGGTGCACAAAGTTCGACTGCTTCCTTACGTTGGTGTAATGCCGCTGCGAATTAACAACTTCCAGGTGAATTAAACAGTTAAATAAACAATTGAACATACACCATACATTTGGAAAGTACAATGGGATGACTGAGAAACGTGAATGCATACAAGGAAAGAAAAAATTTTTCTCCTAATTTAAGCCTACGTAATGACTCACCAGCATCAGTTTTTATTATGTACATTGTTATAGATTTGATGTTAATCAAACATGAACATCATTTCCATAGTTAAAGCTTCTGTCTTCAAAATTGTGAACAAATTCGAGGATTAATTAATTATTTTAGTCTCTGAATCCAATCTCAGATTCTGCTTGGCAACGACGAGCCTCCCACTGCGATGGACTTCAGCCAGTACGAATTGGTGGGGGCCATCCCCGGGCCGGTCCCCTTGGGGGAGAAGTGGTACGAGTTCGACGTGTCGCCCCCCCGCTGCAGCCGCTACGTCGCTGTGTACAAAAACGTCGCGACTCCTGACTACATCATGGAGATCTCTGCTTCGTCTAGTCTGTTTTTGAAGATGTTCATACTCGGAGCGTCAACGATGCTATCAGGGAGGCTGTTCCACATGTCGGTGACTCGAAGCGAGAAGAAATGTTGTTGAATGGATGTGTTTCAACGCTGTTTTTTTAGTTTATAGCCGTGGTCCCTGGTGTTGGTTCTAGTCTCAAATTCTAGTAATCCTTCTGGGACCTTGTATAAGCTATGAGTATACTTGTATGCTTCAATGAGTTCCCCACGCAGACGTCGATAACTGAGGCTTGGAAGCTTCATAATTTTCAATCTTTCTTCATGAGGCTTGCCTTTTAATCCTGGAATTATCCTTGTTGCACGTCTTTTAACACTCTCGACTAAATTTTTGTCCCTTTCTAGTTTTGGTGACCACACTGCGTTTCCAAACTCTAGGTTCGGACGCACAACAGCAACAAGCAAAAGCTTCGTCGCTTCAGCATATAGTACATATATATATATGTACTCGTAGGAGCGTCTGATCAGTCCAAGTCGTTGATTGGCTTTATTAACTTGAGCTTCTATGTGCTTAGAAAATTTCAGCTCATTGTCGACATTAACTCCTAAATCTTTTTCCATTGTCGACTTCGACATCATCACTCTGTCGTTGCAATCATGTCTTCTCATACTGTAACCTTGCTGTTCATTGTTCAGTCTTTGGGTCTTAAGTTCATAAATTTTTACTCTTGAACTGAGACAGTGAGGTGGTAGCGTGCAAAGAATTCTTCACTGTCGCAGAATAATTAAGAACGAAAACTGGAAGTGTGATGAGTCTAGAAATAGAGCTTATGTCAGATCGGAGTTCACGAACGGCATGCTTTGATATATATTCTTTGATTATAGTCATCGATGATGTAATCTCGAATGATAAGCACGATCTGTGTTGAAAAATATCCATAAAAAATATTTCCAATTGCATCCATTTTCATCTCAATCGAATGGCCGAAAACAGGCAACTCTTGTCACCACAGGTATAATTTGACTGACTGAGCCAAGCAACGATCCTGCACCACAAAATATACTGTCAGCATGCATGATAAGCGACACTTCCCTCCCTCACTCACACTTCCCGCACCAACACTTCCCTCTCTCACATTTCCCTCACTCACACTTCCCTCACTCACACTTCCCTCACCAACACTTCCCTCTCTCACACTTCCCTCACCAACACTTCCCTCTCTCACACTTCCCACACTCACACTTCCCTCACTCACACTTCCCTCACTCACACTTCCCTCACTCACACTTCCCTCACTCACACTTCCCTTACTCACACGTCCCTCACTCACACTTCCCTCACTCACACTTCCCTCACTCACACTTCCCTCACTCACACTCCCCTCACTCACACTTCCCTCACTCACACTTCCCTCACTCACACTCCCCTCACTTACTCTCTCCTCACATTTTCCTTCTAAAACCGACCATGCAGTTACCTCCTAAAATAGACCCTAGATTTCCATTTTTAAATAAACCCTACATTCCCTCTGGTGCCCCCCACCTGAAAAGGTCCCCACGAAAGGAGCGCCAGGCTTACCTGCTATTTTATTACTGTTTTAAAATCTGTGATTCCCAATACACAGAATGTGCAAAGAGAAGACTATTGGCCTAAATAATCAAATGGCCTAAATAATCTCTCGCAAATAAATCATGTTTACTGTGCAGAATTTTTCTTCTTCAGTTCTTGATGCTCTGTAATAAGTATCGTTAGAAATATATTATAACAGAAATTTCAATCAAGTAGGTATATGTTAAGCGAGAATGTTTCCGGGACGTGATGATTAATTGTATCGTTTGAATATCAGAAAAGTATAATTTAAATATCAAACTGACAGTTGAATGGGCGTTGGTTTCAAGCTAACTTTATGTTGGAACCGATCGCTCCATAAGTAAAGAGTTTAGGCCTTTCCATACTCTTATAGTATCGTCTTTACCTGGCATCGTCGTGTTGTTCTGATAGAATTCTTTGCATTGTACTTCTTTAATAGTAACGTCGGTGGCATTAAATTCTGAAATTTCATATACTCTTTTAACATTGTGTGTTCATCATATATGTTCTACACCAATAAACATTTAGCACCTATTTGACTAGTGCATGAAGCCTATAGCGTGGCTGTCGTTTCGTCACGACGTAGAATTTTCATCTAATATCTGTTTATTAGATGAAATGTACGTCAAATACGTCAAATGTAACGTTCTAATGGAAAGCAATTTTAGAATTAAGATTTCTGAATGAAAATAACAGCTCGGTTTTGACTAGATCGCTATTACTTCCGTGATCGATCAATTATTTCATTTCCTTACCATTTTTTTACACCGCGCCACAGGGAAGAGGAGATTAAATGAACCCGTTGTTTTTTTTATAGTCCGATACTGGTGAAGCCGGTATCACGTTCCGTAGAAGAGCTGACGAAGACGATGCAAGCAACGCGCTCAATGGAAAAGCTGATGTAGGTGAAACAGGCATTATAAATTATAATAGAGGTTTCAACGTTCATAAGTTCGTTAGACCTGTCGCCGATTCTTAAGAGCGCAGAACACTCGATGCTTATTGCGCTCTTAAACACGCAACTTACTGCTCAAATTCTGCTGTGCTTAACCGCCCGGCCTCCTTGCCAATTCTGACCAGGTGCCATCTGACTGTCGCACAGAGCTGAGATGGAATCCGCACAGGGCTCCCAGCGCTGGGTTTTTCCACCCAGATCTGGGTTTTTTGGCCGTCACCTGGGTGTCTGGGTGGATTTTTCTTTTAAATGGCAAAATCTGGGTTTTTCGTTAAGGAAGTTAATTTTAGCCAATAATATAATTGAAATATTCTCAATGCCTTAAATTTGTTTATGCAGTCAATACATAATGAATGGAGCAACGCACTAACCGTCAGGCTGTATATTTTCCCTAGCTGAGAGATGGTACTGGTATTGTATGCGTTCCTTACCAGTATTGAACGCGTTCATTACCCGTCAAAGCAACGGTTCCCAACTTCTCGGCGCACACTGCACAGTACCGCGCTCGCTATTGACAAGTGACAAGTTATAGTTGTGTAGTGCGTTACGTTGAGCTTACTGTTGCTTTTGTACCTTTGAACATTGTGAAAGACGTTGTAGATGGAACCTGCTTCCATATGATATGAACAGCGTCCTAAACAAAAAAAAAAAAAACAGAGAGAACATCAATTTAGCAGCAGGCGAATACTTATAATTCCATCAGAAGTAAGTAAAATTACAATGTTTTTGATGAAATTTGTCGTCTGGGTTTTTTTTTCCACGAAATCTGCAGAATCTGGGTGTTTTTCAGCAACCATCTAAGTTTTTCTCAAATTGTTGGCTGGGAGCCCTGAATCCGCACCTCTATGCTCCAATCTGTGTGCTCTGAACTGTAACCACTGGGCAACCCTGCACAGTGTTCTGTTTTGTGTTCACGCCAATGCACGAGTTAAATTCATCGTGCTTTGTGCTAGAACCGATGAATTGACAGCTGAGACTGATCTATACTCCGTTGTGCTCAATTCATCGGGAACGGCACAGTGGTACGCTGATGGAAGGCTAAACGAACACGTGCTCTCAATATGAGTCACTCGCATGGTCGGACGCTGGCGAAGAAGAGTTCGCTGTCGCGTTTAGAAAGTTTGTGATGCATTTCACTTGACTTTTTCTTTAAAACGCAGTACCAATACTCTTTCCAAACGTAAATTTTCCGATTTGAAAAAGTAATGTTTGGATTTGTCCGCGTAAAGAATCTGAATTTGTCCCGGAGCAAATGTATTGGAACGGTGGTATTGACCATTTGACCTGAAGATGAAAAATGTTATTAATTTGTTGCATAATATATTTGAAAGTTAATATATACAAGAGAAAATATTTTATTTACTGTCAAGTAATGTTCATTAAAAGTAGGGGACAAATTTTTCGATAAATTTTCTGTCGAAACGACTTCTGACATATACTCCCTGCCTTCAACCTCATCTTGTCTAACATGTCAATTTCTCACGAGAACACGATGGCCGCGTATTTTGAAGTGTTGTTATGGGCCTGAACTATGAAATGGATTTAAAATTTATTCATTTATTCAAAGTGGCTACTAATACAGTTTTGGCTATAGTTTAATTGAAATAAATGTGTAAAAACTAGATTATACAGTAATATTCCTGTTTTATTTACAATGACTTCCATTATTTGGTGAGTTTTTTTAAAATAATTTTGAAGATTTGAATTCTTTCATTCTGTGCCTGTGTCAGTGTGTCCACTGTCCAGTGTCATCTTTCAAAATCAAGCTGGAAACCTAATTGGAAAATATATAAGAGAACAATTAGGTTATCTTTGAATGATTTATCAATGTGTTATTATTTCATTCTAGGCTATGCTTCTGAGTTCTGACCTTCTGTTATATTTCAGTGGGAAAGCCCTGTGGAGTGTGGTGTGCGGCACCAATGTGTTGCCTTCTAATGACGTGGTGGGGGAGGAGCTTGAGATGGCAGCCGACCACCTGCGTGCAGGCATTTGCTATTATGAACCCTTCTCTGAAGAAGATCATCATGAATGGATTGACTCTTCCAATCTTAAAGAAAACCAGAAGAGTTTTGTTCTGCGTCTGGCCAAAATGCTGGTAGGCGGCCGTAGGCCTAATTGTAATAATTAATAATATTTTGCTTGTTAACAATTTCTGTTCAACTTTTTATATTTTGTTTATTCCCATTTTAAACAGACTTGAATTGCATCCTGGTGATCCTGCTATAGTTCTTTTTATATGTGTGTGACTGTGAACATGGTTTGCTTTCTTTATAATTTTACTCATTTTAAATTTTTGTAAAATGTCATCAAGAGGATCAATATTCATTAACCAAATGTCATCATGAGGGTCAATATTCATTATTACCCTGAAATCCCAATCCCAAATATCATTGAGATTTGAGAGGATTAATATTCATTACCAATACCTAAATGTCATCAAGACTCAAGAGGATCAATATTCATTACCAAGTTAAACAGTTAATCGACGTCTGCGTGGGGACCTCATTGAAGTATACAAATATACTCATGGCTTATACAAGGTCCCAGAAGGATTACTAGAATTTGAAACAAGAACCAACACCAGGGGCCACGGCTATAAACTAAAAAAACAGCGTTAATAATTAATAATATTTTGCTTGTTAACAATTTCTGTTTGACTTTTCATATTTTGTGTCTATTCCCATTTTAAACAGACTTGAATTGCATCCTGCCATAGTTCTTTTTTATATTTGTGTGAAATATGTGAACATGGTTTGCTTTCTTTAATCTTTATAATATTACTCATTTTAAATTTTGGTAAAATGTCATCACTCATCAAGAGGACCAATATTCATTAACCAAATGTCATCAATAATCATCATGAGGATCAAATCATCAATATTTATTATTACCCTGAAATCCCAATCCCAAATATCATTGAGAGGATTAATATTCATTACCTAAAAGGCTAAAGGCTAAATGTCATCAAGAGGTATTCATTACCTTAAACTTATCAGTAGTCACAAATTCACAATATCTGGACAAGGGAGTAGGCCAGTAGGGACTTTATGATGAAATCCATTATTACTTCTGAGATTAGAACTTTTGAATTTTCTAAATTAAGTGGAAAATTGGTATAGAATTACAATATGCTTTTTTATTTGTCTGATTTATGGTTTTTGTGATACTATTTTCTTGTAAATGTGATTGCATTCCTCAGCTTGATCTTATTTACATATTTATAACAATAATAATAACATATACATATTTGTTATATATATATTAATATAGGCCTATATATTAACTAACAGGACAGCAAAGCATTGCATGTAATAGATTGCTCCTGCAAATGAAGAATCCTGTAAATTTAAAATACATTTTTCCTAATTTGGTCATTCTAAACTTGGTAATTTTGTAACTAAAGGCTGATGGCTGTTAATTAAAGAAAGATTTCCAGCTCTTATTGTGCTTTTGACTGCCACTAAAGTGACAATTCAAAATTTTACAGAAACTAAAATATTCTTTTTTAAAATGGATAATGCCTATCATTGAAAAGGCACCTTTAAATCGTAATTTTCCCTTTAAAATTTTCAATGAATTGCAATTCCCCCATTGAATATAAATTTACTGTAATTGTAGCCACACTCCTAATCAGCCCATATATATAGTTTATAGATTAAAAAAATCATTCATTAAAATATGTGTATCTACATAGCTGAATGCAACTTTTGATTTCTGCAGAACCTCTGCTCCCGACAAGCATGGGAGTTTTTTCAAGTATTCTTGCAAGAAGAATATCGGGGCAGCATTGCCGAGTTGACTTCTGTGCTTGCCTGCTATCGTTCCGAGTCTCATTTGCTTCACCAAATCTTTGCATTTTATCTCACCGACCCCATGCACATTTTGTCCTGCCGTACACATCTGCTGGCCTCTGCTGCAGCTAAGCAAGATCACCCATATCAGGTAAGCTTTGAATGACTTCAGTTTTAATAAATGACCTCTTGATTACATTTTTCCAGAAATGTCTGCTTAACTCTAAGCTTAACTCTAGTTAGCTTAACTCTAAGTTGAGAAACTTGGCAAAGTTAAGTCATGTTAACATTAAAGTTGAGTTTAATATTTCTGTTTAGACAAGGCTAAAAATATTATAATATTAGGCTAAATTTAGGCTTTTGGTCAATATCAACAGACTGCCCCCACTATTTTTCTAATGTTTACTTTGATATCAAATGTTTGGAGGAGTATGTGAATAATAAGTACAAACTTTTATTATAAATTTTATTTAAGTTTGAACTGAATAGGTTAGCAAATATATAATTTGAAATAAAATATATTATTTCATAAATTGGTTGAAAGCATTCCAACCGACCAACCGGAAGTCATTTTGACTGCATTATTATATATACATGCATTGCCAGTTTGGATGGTGAATCAGGAGCAAGATGTTCCTGTAGCAAGTTGAACCTTTTAATTATATTTTCTAGTTATAATTCTGTGAACTTTATTGTTTCATTCATAATTGATTGATTAACTTGACATATCTTTTTAATGCCTTCTTGAAAAAACTATTCTAATAGTGTAGTACTGACCTTGCTATGAACAGACTATGTACATAACAAAGACATATTTTTTGATTCTATATTGCAATTGAAACGCATTACTTTTCAGTTATAAAATCTGCATTTCACAATTCTCATGTTTTTTTTTTCATTTTAGGAGCTGTTTGCAGACTTTGTAAGAGAGGCTCTTGACTGTGAGCAGTTGTTAGGCTCAAATATGGTTGAAGAACTCACATGTGTTCATCAGGCGGTGATGAAGTATAGGTGAGTACTGAGTGATAGTTGTACAATTCTGTTGATTCTAAATGGTGAACAATATTTATTTTTGAGAGCTCAGACCAATGATTAATATCATTGAATATCATACTTCTTATTTTCAATTTTAAATCCATCTGGTATTGTAATGGGCCCAAGGAGCTTGAAACAATGTAGATTTGTAGCTATGTAAGAACTACCAAAATAATTTATTCAGTTGTATTAATAATATTATTCAGTGCCAGTTAATAAATTCCTATAATCATTAAAGTCTAGGAATGTAATAATTTTTATTGTTAAGCTTTACTGTTCTGTAGAAAAAAGAACAATTTACTAATTATTATTTTTACGATTATCAAAAATAATTCATGATTTACTAATTTATTATCATATGTTTGATCAAACTGAACTGTGCAGGGACTGTCAGGACAAAGCTTACGGAGGCGGCATCTTCGGTGCCCAGGAAGACGAGGCCAACAAAAACAAAACTTCTGCATTAGATTTTGTCCCTGGCAACCCTGACCTGCCTGATGATGGTTAGTATTAATAATCCCATCCAGTCCCACAAGTTTAATTCAATTAAATCAATACATAGTTTTCTATGTGTTGGGAAACTTGGCTGCCACACTAACCTTCGTCTAATTTGATAAATTGTGTCTGTATACATTCATGTATGAGTAAGGGATGTGCAAAAATTAGTGAATCTCTTCATTCATTCTATGTATAGTTAAATAATAGTGAAGTTTACATGAATGTTCTCATCACATTATTATTGATCCATCATTGAATGAATCAGTCGTTGTTGTAAGAATATATAAAATTTTTCTAAAATACATAGGAGAATACCTATGTGAATGATCTTATGTCAGGAGAGAACCAACGGTCTAAAAAATTGATCACATTTGAAATATCATGAAATATTTTAGAACAATCAGAAATACAGATATAGAACATATATGGTATATGTGAATGTTCATATTGCAGGAGAATATCAATGGTTAGCAGCACGCCTTGCACTTGCTAAGCACCTGCTGGCATCGCTGCTGGTGTACTATGCTCAGCCTCATAGGAAGTGCGAGCCTAGCGTAGTGGTCAACCTCATCACACTCGCACAGGTGATGGCCTAGCCATGCTGATTAGATTAAATTATATTATTGGGCTAATTACTTATATGGACTAAACTATTCATCAGCCTACCTCATCACACTCGCACAGGTGATGCCCTAGCCATGCTGATTAGATTAACACGTTGATGACGATTACTTCATCTTGTGCTATTGTTTCATTTTTTGTACTGTTTTTAAACAGGGTTGCCAGACGGTCATTTTTTCATGACAAATTCCGTGGTTTAGTTTTTCTCAATTGCGTTGGCCGGCTAAAAGTTATGATAGGGGTACTTCTTAATTAAATTTTAAATACTGCAAAAAGAAAATGAATGAAACATTCATAGTGGAACCTGCAAATAAACTAGTATACATTGAATTATCGGCCTTTTTTGTTCTCGGATTTGGCCGATTTTAAGCAACCTGAATTATGTACCACTACGTCTTGGAGAAATACATATCGGGGTACGCATATGTACCACTTTGTAGTCAACGTGTTAATAATAATATTGGGCCAATTATTTATCGAGGCTAAAATATTTATCAGCCAACCTCATCACACTCGCACAGGTGATGCCCTAGCTATGCTAATTTGATTAAATTATATTCTTGGGTCAATTATTTATATAGATTAAACTATTTGTTAGCAGACCTCATCACACTCGCACAGGTGATGCCCTAGCTATGCTAATTAGATTAAATTATATACTTGAGGTCAATTATTTATAGAGGCTAAACTATTCATCAGCCTAACTCATTACGCTTGTACTTGTGATGCTCTGCACTCAGGGAAATGAGGGAGACTTTGTCCAAATGGCGATGCATAACCCAGTTTCACGTGGCAAGAGGGCGTATCAGTGCTAGGTACTACGTGCAGAAAGTGTGTCACAATTTGGACAACAGGATTCAAGTGTGTCATGCTAATTGCTTAAATCATATGCTTGAGCAGATTACCAATATATTAAATAATCTGATTGGGCAGATTATTTATGTAGGCTAAAGTATATGTAGCTTGTAATAAGTACGGTATATGCCCTGCTAGTTATTTCACGAGGGTAGGTTGCTGATCAAAGTATTTGTTACATTTTTATTTTTTTTACTGTACTAACTATTGATTGTGTCTGTATTCTAGAATTCTTGAATTGTCAATGGAGCTTGACTCACAAATGTTTTCTTTAAAGATAAGGTGATTTTTTTTTGCTGCGATATTTTTGGAGAATTTGAAATTGAAGCATTTGAAAGACATTAATGCTCAAAGCATTTGATGTTTATAGCAAAGGCGTGTGAGAATTACTTATTTCACAAGTGCAGGTTAGTGAAGAAATCATTTTGTGTTACAGGGTGAAGGCGTGTGTGGGGGCGTGGTGGCCCCGGGGGGCCAGTCATGTCAGGCCGCTGTGGCGACGCTCCTCAGAGACATAGACGCTCTGCACTCCCTCCTGCTGGTGCTGGTTATTGATACTGATGAAGACGTCAGGTGAGATCTTGGGTCATATACCTGAAATTATTTTAGCATAATTCAAATAGCAAACTAATTAATTGTTCTGCCATCACAATGCAGACTCTTGTAATATATTCATATGTGAACCATATTTCTCTACTTTGAATGTGTATGTATAGAGGCTAATGTGTATGTTTCTTTTATTTCTACTCTTACAATTAGTTTTATGCCTTTTAACTTGGTCATTCTCTATAATATTATGACAGAAAATGTATTTATTTGATTTTTATAACATGAGCTCGTAATATATTCATTTGTGAACCATATTTCTACACTTTGAGAGTGTATCTTCCTTCTATTTCTATTCTTACAATTAGTTTGATGCCTTATAACTTGATCATTCTCTAAAATATCATGACAGAAAATGTATTTATTTGATTTTAATAACATTAACTCGGCAGATCGCATAAGCTTTGTGCACCACAATGGCGGGACCAGGTAGAGTCTCTCATAACTGAGTTCGGGTCCCGCCCCGGGCACCTGCCGCCCCTGCTGGCGTGGTGTGTGCTGCAGGGGCGCCGTGCCCTTTGTGACACCAACGGCGCCTCTGTGCCTTCGTCGGAAGTGCAGCGCTACAGCAGGATGGCCGTGAGAGCTGTGGATGGGGGCGTCATGGCCTGCCTACACAACTTTCTGAACAACCAAGCTGTTGTTGTGAGTCTCGATTGCTGTCACTCTAGAGTGTTTCTGTTATCATTATTGCTGTCACTCTAGAGTGTTTCTGTTGTCACTATCATTATTGCTGTCACTCTAGAGTGTTTCTGTTGTTACTATTATTGCTGTCACTCTAGAGTGTTTACGTTGTCACTATCATTATTGCTGTCACTCTAGAGTGTTTACGTTGTCACTATCATTATTGCTGTCGCTCTAAAGTGTGCTCATTGTCACTGTTCTTATTACTGTCACTCTACAGTGTTTCTGTTGTCACTATCCTTATTGCAGTCACTCAAAATTATCTCTATCATCACAATCCTTATTTTAATCAGTTCAAAGTTTTTCCTAACAGCAGCAAAGCCTCGTATTTGTAGCCTTAACTCGCATATACCCTTAAAGTATATTTGAGTTCTCAAGACTCTTGTGCTGAAATAATTCTGGTTTAAAATTACTTGTATTTGGACTTCTGCACTTATGTCTCCATTACTTGAATATTCCAAGAAAAATTTTATTATGTGATATTTTCATCTCATTGAATGATTATTAGATGATATTTTTTTGTCGTCTAAGGATTAATTTGTTCAGCAAAGGCCGCTCAAAATGTCGCTCTAAGATATTTGTTACACTTTATTATGGTTTAACTTTTTCCCAAGGCATGTTATGCACTTTTCATTATGCATATTCCAATTCTCTTCATAATATATAATAATATAACATATTATATATCATAAGATAATATTATGTACGTATTTTTCCATAACTACAATATTATATCATAATATATAATATTAGGATTATTATATGATGATACATAACTTGAAAATGAGTGTAGTTCACAGAGAAGAATGCAATTTCGAGTTTTTTTTTCACATATTTTTTTGGGCAGAGATTTTTTCAGAGCGACGATTTTTTCCAAGATTTTTTTAGGCAGATTTTTTCCAAATTCCAAGATTTATTCGCGCAGAGCGACGCGCTGCTGAAGGAGGTGTGCGCGAGCATCGTGTACTCGGTGGCGTGCGTCGCGGCGACGCAACTCAACATCGACCCCAGGGCGCCGTGCAGCGCCCACCTCAGCGCCCTCGCCGTCGCCTGCGTCGCCAGTCCCGTCCCCGCCCACCTCTTCTGGGCTGAAGAAGGTCTGCCTTCTTGGACTTCAAACTTGAAATTTTGAGAAATAATTACCGTTCGCTATTGGGCCGGTCGGAGGAGAGGCCTTCTATGACTTCAAATTACAAAATAATTACCGTTCGCTATAGGACCGGTAGGAGAAGAGGACTTCTCGGAGTTTAAACTTTAATATTTATAAAATTATTTACCGTTCGCTATAGAACCGGTAGAAGGAAAGGGCTTCTCGGAGTTCCAATTTGAATATTTATAAAAATAATTACCGTTTTCTATAGGACCGATCGGAGGAGAGGGCTTCTTGCACTTCAAACTTGAATATTTAAGAAATAGTTACCGTTTGCTTGAACCGTTTGGAGGAAGGGGTTCTTGGACTCAGTTATGCTTTAAGAACTGCTAATTTCTACTGGTATAAGGGCTGTTTGCTGTAGGAATGGTGGCAGGTCTGTTGTATGGATAAGAAAACTCGAGCCTTAACTATTGCAGAAAAAGTTACTGTTACTATAGTATAGTATAGTATCTTCGGCATTGAAGAATAGGCCTGGATAGGCCGGTCGCCGATTCTTGTACTTTTCCTGACTAGACTATAGTAATGGTCAAGGGAAGGGCTTCTCTGACTTAGTTGCCCAGGCCGTTCCCTGTTGTATTTACGAGTGATGGTCACACTTTGTTGTACCTTCGCTACTATAGGAAATATGATCTTCATTAAGTGTTTCTTTTTTAACTCTTCATGTTTTTTTAGAGATAACTTTTAGCATATTTTCTCATTAATGGAAAAATGCTCTATTGTGCTCGTCATGTCCGTCAGTCCGTCCGTCTATCTGTCTATCCGTCAGTGACTTCACGTTTTCGTCGACAAGAAAATGCGCTCTCTGTCACTCACTGTAGTAAGTACTGAGTTATATTTTTTTTATTGTTGGAGAAATGTGTCTCACATTTATTGAGTACATGCGTAACATACCTCATGAATGTCATCCAAAAAAATCACAAAGATTTAAGGATGAAACCGCTTAGTGGGATATAGTCGAGAAATGATCATAATTCCTATATTAGTACAGTACATCCTGTAATAATTTCGGTGAGGTAATCAACACATATATGTTACATTACTCGAGGTATTGTTGGTAAACCAACAATAAATGTGACTTTAAATTGAACTTCAATTCTAACCTTAATGCAATTCTCAATTTTGATGCGTTAAGCTATGTGCTGAGTACTGAAATGTGGCGAGGACTGCACGTGAACGAATTTTACAGTTTAATGTGGAGATGTAAATGATTTCTTCCATTGAATATTCTGTTTAATGTTCCTGATTAATATTTATATACAGAACGATTGTTGTGGCGTATCGTTCAAACGAACTTGGAGGGTACGTAAACATAAGTTTAATATCGGGAAAAAATAAGAAGATATGAGATATGACGAAGATACCATAAAAAATATAACTCAGTGCTCACTGCAGTGAGTGACAGAGCGCATTTTCTCGTTGACGAAAGACAGACGGACGGACGGACATGGCGAGCACAATAGCGACTTTTTCTATAAATGAGAAAATGCGGTAAAATATTATGATAGATATTGTCCACCATTAATACATTAATGTAGAAGCGATGTGCTAATACTGGATGCATTACAGAAGGTACCGCCGCGGTGCTGCTGCCAGACGCCCTCCTGGTGTTTGTTTTTTTTATAGTCCGATACTGGTGAAGCCGGTATCACGTTCATTAGAAGAGCTGACGAAGACGATGCTAGCAACGCGCTCAATGGAAAAGCTGATGTAGGTGAAACAGGCATTATAAATTATAATAGAGGTTTCAACGTTCATAAGTTCGCTAGACCTGTCGCCGATTCTTAACAGCGCAGAACACTCGATGCTTATTGCGCTCTTAAACACGCAACTCACTGCTCAAATTCTGCTGTGCTTAACCGCCCGGCCTCCTTGCCAATTCTGACCAGAAACTGTCGCACAGAGCTGAGATGGAATCCGCACCTCTATGCTCCAATCTTTGTGCTCTGAACTGTAACCACTGGGCCACCCTGCACAGTGTTCTGTTTTGTGTTCACGCCAATGCACGAGTTAAATTCATCGTGCTCTGTGCTAGAACCGATGAATTGACAGCTGAGAATGATCTATACTCCGTTGTGCTCAATTCATCGGGAACGGCACAGTGGTACGCTGATGGAAGGCTTCCTAGTTCCTTGCCTAGTTTCATGCCTAGTTCCGTGCCTAGTTGCATGCATAGTTCCGTGCCTAGTTAGTATAATAATACTAGTCATGTCTCAGGCTCATGTCTGTCCACAGGAACTGGAGGTGCCGCTGGTGGCGTGTCTGGGGAGTCAGGCGGAGGTGATCAAGGAGCTTCTCCTGTACAGACTTAGAGCTGCTGCTCAGGATACAAGGGTTAAGGTGTGCATTATGTAACTTTAATGCTATCTGTGTTGATAAATTTGTGCATTGAGCATCTTATTATACTTTTGTGACCTTTTTAAAGAATGTGAAGCTTATAATCTTAACAATAACAACTATCTGAATATTTTTCATTGTGGAATTCTGTACGTAACTTTTGACAATTATCATTATTTACGTCAAATTACCGTTTCATTAGATAATGACAATATTGTATTTAATATCATATTAATATAATTAATATGCAATTCCTGATATTAGGTGAATCAATATTACCTCTAATTTAAACTTGAGTGATATAAATCACTTAATATATTCTTGAAGTGCATTAACCGTTCATCTGCCGTTGTTGGTGTCATATCCGAGGCATCTATTTATTTATTTAATTGAAGTAGATTAAAAGCAGGTGTCCATCACGCAGCTGCTGACAGCCGCTGCTTTATCTTATAGTTGCAGCTGTTGTGCAGGTGGCCATCACGCAGCTGCTGCTTTATCTTATAGTTGCAGCTGTTGTGCAGGTGTCCATCACGCAGCTGCTGCTTTATCTTATAGTTGCAGCTGTTGTGCAGGTGTCCATCACGCAGCTGCTGATTTATTTTATAGTTGCAGCTGTTGTGCAGGTGTCCATCACGCAGCTGCTGATTTATTTTATAGTTGCAGCTGTTGTGCAGGTGGCCATCACGCAGCTGCTGATTTATTTTATAGTTGCAGCTGTTGTGTCACTACACCTCACTACCCACATCGTCCGTCTCAAGGCCGTTAGTAATCCAGCCCATTACTAGCTTGCTCACTCAACTAACATCCTTAGTCTACTCGTCGCGATATTAAAAGATGTCACTAAGTACAGACCATGTTGAGATTTTTCATTTAAAGCCAACATGGCATACTAATATTCCTAGATGTTTTCTCTGATTAAACATGTTTTTATTACATTTAAGGAACATGTTATCAAAATAAAGTAACATTTTATCACAATCAAGAAACATGTTGTTAGCACAAAAGTAACATGTTATCACAATGAAGGAGTATGTTGTCACAATTAAGGAACATGTTATCACAATCAAGGAACATGTTTTCATCACAATTAAGGCCATTAGGTATCACAATTGAGGCACATGTTATCACAATTTAAAAACATATTATCACAATTAAGGAACAACATGTCATCACAATTAAGGAACATGTTATCACAATTAAGGAACATGTCATCACAATTAAGGAACATGTCATCACAATTAAGTAACATGTTATCACAATTAAGGAACATGTTATCACAATTAAGGAACATGTTATCACAATTAAGGAACATGCCGCGCTTTGGTCGGCCAACCACGTCGCTGCCATTACCGCCCTCAGAGACTCAGAACCCTTCTGGACGGTCCTCGTGACACCCCTCAACAGCTCAGAGCCTGGTGAGTATATCTTCACTAATTAACTAGTGCCATAACTAAAGTGACATCCATGGAACTGCGTGTCAAAGGCAGCAGCTCTCAACCTTAACGAAATACCTACCATGATTCTGAATGAGACATTCAAACCAACTTCAGAACAGATGTATAACCTTAGACGACTCCTAAGTAAATGCTGCCTGATACTGGAGATTGGCACGATACTTTGGTACTGTATTCATCTGATCAAATCATATATTGTATATGAAAAATTTTACGCTGCGACAAACTGCCACTACCGTGATTTGTCAACTTGGATCAATGACACATTAAAATGACATGGCATAAGTTGAAGTTGACCTCCGCTGCTGCAATACAGAAACTGACTTCAACACCAGGACCTAAATAAATGCTGAAAAAAGGTGTAAGCTCGTGATCACTAAAGTTTTTCTGCATATGGTCTGGTAGAGATACGATCTGGTGTTGTGCTACACCTCCAGTAGCGGGTTGCTTTCGCTTAGGAGTTGTCCTGTATTGAGGATCATTGTTCCTGAAACTGCTGTAGAAGGATACCTTCAGAATTATGGCAAGCATTTCGGTGACGGTGACTTGATGTTACTGACGATCCTACCTCAGGCACCAAATAGATAACGCATATCTGAAGTGTCTGAACGCATATCTGAAGAAATATCCTGTGACTACGTACCTACTTCTGCTGTTACTTCCCCTGACCACAGTTCTTTCCACTGACCGCATGTTATATCCTTGAGTGCGAGGTGCTTAATGCGAGTATTGTAAATAAATTGATCATATTATATAAGCTAATTTAATAAACGTGCACTGCAGGCGAGGAGACAGACAGCGTGCTGGAGCAGACGCTGCGCCTGATAGCGCTGGAACATTTCCATGCTGCGCGCCACGCCAACAAGAAGCGCGCCCACGGCCTGGCTGAAGCCCTCGCGTCCGCCTTCTCCACCAACTGGAAGAACTTGAACCAAGTTAGCGACTGTCCTTCTTGCTTTAGATCTGCCTTGGGAATTCTTGCTTTTATTTGTCGATCTGGAGAAAAAAAATCCTTCTTTGTTCTTGGGTTCGACTATCTTATTTGCCGCAAGTTTAGCTGACATCTTGCTCTGTTGACAGCACATGGTGGGCTGGGTGGGTGATGACAGCAGTTGCCAGCAGGGCGTGACGAGGCTGCGGTGCTGGAGAGACCTGCTGGTGGTGCTGTTCAGCGAGTACCCGCACTGCATACCTGATCTTGAGGCGGTTAGTGACACTACTGTTGTCATTTATGTTATTTTCTTTAATATTTTAGTTCTTTATTAATACGCTATTTGTAGTTACTTATAACAAAACATTAAATTTTACTGTACTCTGGACATTGTTGTTACTTGCAGTAATACTTTAGTTCTTTATTACTACACTAGTCGTAGTTACTTATTACTAGACATTATTTATATTTTATTGTACTGTGGACATTAATGTTACTTTTATTAACACTTCAGTTCTTTATTACTACAATGGTTGCACTCACTTTTTGTAGAGCAGTTATTAATATTATTGTGCGGTAGTTATTGTCGTAAGGCAACTCCTGGCAAAGAATATGAAAACAATGATGATTTAGAATTTATTCTCAGTTCAAAGTTGAAGGTTATTTCAACGTCAGGTGTGTTGTGTTGGAGTTGTTGCAGTTAGTTATTGCACGGTCACTAGTCACTAGCAGCTGTATTGTATGGTCACTAGTCACTAGCAGCTGTGTTGTACGGTCACTAGTCACTAGCAGCTGTGTTGTACGGTCACTAGTCACTAGCAGCTGTGTTGTACAGTCACTAGTCACCAGCAGCTGTGTTGTACAGTCACTAGTCACTAGCAGCTGTGTTGTACGGTCACTAGTCACTATCAGCTGTGTTTTACGGTCACTAGTCACCAGCAGCTGTGTTGTACAGTCACTAGTCACTATCAGCTGTGTTGTACAGTCACTAGTCACTAGCAGTTGTTGGAGTCACTAGTCACCAGCAGCTGTGTTGTACGGTCACTAGTCACCAGCAGCTGTGTTGTACAGTCACTAGTCACTTGCAGTTGTGTTGTAGTCACTAGTCACTAGCAGTTGTTGGAGTCACTAGTCACCAGCAGCTGTGTTGTATGGTCACTAGTCAATAGCAGCTGTGTTGTATGGTCACTAGTCACTAGCAGCTGTGTTGTATGGTCACTAGTCAATAGCAGCTGTGTTGTATGGTCACTAGTCACTAGCAGCTGTGTTGTACGGTCACTAGTCACTAGCAGCTGTGTTGTATGGTCACTAGTCACTAGCAGCTGTGTTGTA